GCCAGAGTGCTGTGGGAGTCAGCTCCAGATGGGTTTGCTCAGCCTGTTACATGGTGTATGCTCTCTTTCGCTCGCTCTCTACGCTTGGAAAGAGAGCGGTATTCCTGGCTTTTTTGCCTGGTTTCACAGCCATAGATTTGTACAGGGTTCTTACCCTGGCTTGTGTGATTACAAAGGAAATAGCGCAGTAGCCCCTCAAATTGAGGGGAAAGAGCAAATCAAAACACGCATCAGTCTCCTTTGCCAGAGTGCCAACTACCACAGAGTTGGGGAAAACGCCGCGCACGTGATTTTGCTGCATGCGAAAATGAAGGGAAATGAAAAAATATACCGCCGTGTCATTTAAAAATGTGTACCTACAGAGTTGAAGCAACCACGAATGATGCTGTGCAGATGGTTTTCCTCTTGCCAGGGAGAAGTGTAGTGGGGCCAGAGTCTTTTAATCTGTCATATACATAACCTAAGATTTACAGTTGGAATCAGACTTGAAAATGTAAATGGATTTTCAATTGCAGAGTCTGCGCCATCATAATAGCTTTCATTCAGAGCTTTGTCTGGGTAGAACAACAGCTGTTCTGCCTGTGTTTTTTTCTTGGTTTATTTTATTTTTAGCCTTTTCTCATATGTAAAATGCCAGGAGATGGACGCAGACTAGGAGACCTCGCAGTAATGTCTGCTAAATAAATAAAGTGCTCCCAATGATACTTAAGTGAAACTTATGTTTAAACTGCTTTCTTCCTTATCTAACATTGCAAAACACACAGAAGGAGAGAGATGATTTCAGCTAGTGAAGAGCCCTGACCTGGATTTTTGACTACCTTCCCACTCCTAACATGGCTAATCTGGATAAAACAGGATGCAAAAATCTGATCTGACTTTGAAATTAGCTTTTTGCCTGAAATCACTAGCTGATGACTGTTGAGAGCCCCCTGGAGGCTTAATGTTTTGCCCCTTAAAGTTAAAAATTGGGGAAAGCTGGTGGTCAATTTAAAAATGCCACCTTTAAGGAAAGCACTGGGGTATTTGAAGTTGAACTCCCTGTTCAAATTCAACAATTGCCTATTGGTTTTTAAAACCAAACTACCTTCTTTTTGTTTCAATAATTTCTCTTTTTCAACATCTGTACATTTCTGCTGCTGTTTATTATGGTTATTTAAGATGCATGTTTGGCTGTTCATAAAGTGCACCTGTCCAAATGCAGATACCAATGTGAGTTTAGTATGGAAATAGGAGTTATGAGTCCAAATACTGTTGCGGACCTGTTTCCCACTGCAGACAGTGTTTTGTTGCTTGGAGACCTGCTGTATGTTCTTGCTTTAATCTTTCTTCCAAAGTCAAGCTCTGTGCTTCTAAGACAGCTGGAAAACTAGACAATATTCTGTGTTTCAAAACTTGTGTAGGAGGAAAAGGACATGTAGGAAAAAACAACCAACCACCAAAACAAAAGCCCCAACCCAGCTCCCTGGAGACCTGGAGCCACCAGGAATTTTTGTTTGTGCTGGGAAAGTAGTAAATGACTTCAGGCATCAAGTGAATGACATGGTTTTCTCGCAAGGCAAGGAAGTATTCTTTTCAAAACCGAGAATGGGAATTACAAGACCCACGGCAGTGCCCTGTTATATTGTTTCTGAGAATAGAACTCCTCTGTGGTTGATCTTACTAGAAACCACGATGAGAACATCAGGGTTCATTTTCCTCGTCAGTCATTCTCCATCTATTTCTCTTTTCCTCCCTATCTATCCCTTTCTCTTTTTTTCTGTTCCCTCAACTCTTCTCTCTTTACTGTTTTTCTCTCTTATCTCCCCCAGTTTCTGTGAAACACTGCAGGCATGCAGGGTTGCCCCTGTCCATCAGAAGACGGACCAGCAACAAGGGTCTACCTGCAGTTTGGTTGGCTTCCACAAGCAAACCGAAGATAGCACTAAGCTCTCTGCTGTTCAAATATAATTTCATGCTGTTCCCACAGGCATTATTCCAGGAATATTATTTGCTTGCTACAGTGGAATACTGCAATGCCAAAGGATATTTTGTCTGATTTCCACCTCCAGGCTGTTATTTTGACATTAAAAAAAAGTGAACAAAAATACATTGTTACTATTCAGAAAAATAATTCATCATCTGTTTTATATGAGTGTGGGTAATAGAGTTGGAATTAAGGAAATGTCATCTTTGCAATATGCCCAGACTTCTGAATGAGAGGGATTCCCGAACAAACTTCTTCCAAAGTCACATTTCAGACTTGCAGCTTCCACCAGCAGGACCTCTGGCAAGGCTGGCAGGAGCATGACAGTGAATGCAGGGAGTTTGGAAGCAATTCTCAGAGTCTGGAACCACACCGATTCCTGAGCTGCGGATTTGTGTCTTGGCAGGACAGATAGAGCAGAAAAAGTAGAAGTCACATGCTGATCTGTGAATCTGAGATTTTAATCACTTGAAGATCAAGGGCCTAAGTCTGACCTGCACTTAGATTCTGCTCTGGTCTAAACCCAGAATAAGTGTGCTTAAGCTCAGACTTATATTTCAAATGCCTTATATAATGTGGCACTACTTTATAAAAACCCAGGCACTTGTAACCTACTCTAATTCAGCAGGAATCCAGCCATTTTGTTGTTCCCTGTCCTCTAGGAGTACTAACAAGAAAAGAGTAAAGAAACTTCCACCATTCAGCCAGAAGCCCAGCATGTCCTCAGATAATCCCTTACGGGATGGACAGTGGGACCCGAGCCAGGCTGTTGTCAGGGCTCCACGGCTGGTCAGAGGGATGTGTTTGTTCCCAAGCATCCCTTTCTGCGTCTCAAGATGAATGGCTCCACACTGACCACTACAATTGCTTGATGGTCCCAGGAGAGATGCTTTTTCAGCTAAAGGATGGCACTGGAACAAGAATAAATGTGTCTAAACTGGACATAATTGCATTCACGCTGGTTATTAAAAGAAGGTTCCTAATAAACTTTTTGAAGACCAGCCAAAATGATTAAAGGGGCAAAGAAACCCCTAATTATTTTTAAAGTAAACTTGGTACGTTTTTTTGGAAGATTTATTGAAGTTCGGCTGCAGAGGAGCCAATAGTCTCAGCAGTCTTTTAACCTTCTTCCCTCTGATCAAAGGGTCTCTTGGAAATTGAGTGTCATTTGTTAACCCTTACCCACCCAAGACATTACTCTCAACTGATGTTGAGAGTAATGGGCTGATGTTGCTCTGCTGTGATCACACTGAGCTCTGCTCTCCAAAACAGCAGCAGAAACAGCCACCTCCCATATGCCTGGTGATGTGGGAAAGACACCATTGTGTTTAATCTAGTGTTGAAAAGTCCACTCCCTTCACTGAGGTGTATGAAAACTAATTTGCTCTATGCCAATGTTGGTTTTATGGGAAAATATCACCTCTAAAAATCACCTCCCCAGCATACGAAAACAAAATCCCCAAAACAGAGACATTAAAATGAATCATATTCTTGAAAATCTTCATTTCCTCCAGTCACAAAATGGGGCTGGCAGTACTTACATGCCTCTGGGAAGCTGTTTGGGTAAGAAAATCCTCGTGGCACGCAAGATCTTCTCTGAAAAGGGCATTATTTACCTAGTGATTTGCTTTTATTGTTCTGCTATTAAAAAAAAAAAATATCTCTACAAAAATTTTGGAGCGTTACACTGAGTTTATTTTGAAAAAGAAATCAAAGAATGTTTTTTTCATCTCTGAGCCAGATGGAAAGAAAAAACAAATGTATTCCACCCCAAGAAAGAAAACACATGAGAACTTTCAAAATTTTTTCTAGCCAAGTTTG